CTCCTCCGTAACTTCTTTATTTATGAAAATATTCAAATAGGAATTTCACATTCTCATGGCAGTTTTTCAAAGTGATTTCAAAAGAAATATGAAATTTATACCAACTCTTCTAGAATTTGAGATATCAGCACCTACTTTAGTTTTTCAAATGTAGGTCATAGCTCACTATGACTTAGCTACAAATAATTTTTTTTTCGCTTACAGATGATATGTAGCAGTAATAGTTTTGTGTTGATAACAACGGAGTTATCGTCATTTAAACAAAAACAAAAAATTTTTTGAAAGCCGCCATCTTGAATTTATAAATTTAAAGAAAAAAATCATGATCTCCGACCTCAAAAACCCCCACTCACCAATTTTGAATGGAATCGGACCAAATCTTGTCCGCCATCTTGGAGCAGCCATTTTTTTTATTGATGGCGGATAAGATTTGGTCCGATTCTATTCAAAATTGGTATGTTGGGGTTTTTGAGGTCGGAGATCATGATTTTTTTGTTAAAATTTATAAATTCAAGATGGAGGCTTCCAAATAATGTTTTGTTCTTGTATAAATGACGGTAACTCCGTTGTTATCAACACAAAACTATTACTGCGACATATCATCTGTAAGAGAAAAAAAGTTATTTGTAACTAAGTCATAGTGAGCTATGACCTACATTTGAAAAACTAAAGTTGGTGCTGATATCTCAAATTCTAGAAGAGTTGGTATAAATTTCATATTTTGTTCAAATCACTTTGAAAAACTGCCATGAGAATGTGAAATTCCTATTTGAATATTTTCATAAGTAAAGAAGTTACGGAGGAGACATGAAAATGATCAAAATCTGTTTTTTGCGTATAAAACAAAAACGAATAGATTTTATCAAAATATTTTTCCAAATTATAGTTGGCCTTGACAAACTCCACATTTGGTGTCATTTAACCGACCTCGTATCTCTCACCGTTAAAAAGATACCAATGGTGAGCATGGTAAGTGGGACACACTGTATAAGGACGATAAAACACAACATACTCTTCCTTAATATCAATTACCTAATTCAAATAATGTAAACACACTGTAATCCGATATTTTGATTTGATTTCCAGAAGAAAAAGTGCCCACTACAGGATTGTTACCCATTTCTAGTCAATATGTACAAATTTACAGGGCATTACAAATTCTTGGTCAAGCATGGGAAAGCATGATAATGGCGGAACAAAAGCAAAATTCCTGAAATTTGTTCAACTTTTTCTGTTTTACGAAAAAGCGTCAACAAATTTCTGAGTTTTCGTATTTGGACGACCATCATTAGTTTCATTCTTTGAAATACGTTAGAGGCTTTTTGATCTGGTTCGTTGACCTAATCAATGTTATGAGCTTTAGTCGACTAAACATGATTTGAAAATGCCATTTTGTAGAAAAGAAGCGACACTTATTTTGAAATATTACTTCAATTAAGCTCAGAATGAAATGAATCTTGCTAAATTTCGTTTCAATTTTCGGAAATATTCCGAATTGTTTAAACTTCAAACTTTGGCATAATTTGAGCCACCGTGTATCATATTCACCGAGATTTCCATGCTTAGCCACGATTTCACTATGTCCTGTGTGCCGGGTGACAAATTTTGAAGTACTACCCCTTACTCTTCGATATTTGACAGTAGAAAAAGCCGAGGTAAAACATCAAACTCAATGAGAAAATAAGAGAACAAATTTTTTGGACGGAATCAATGCAAGTTTTTTTTATTCTTTGAATGCATGGTTCTCAAGACAAAAGAATCTGATAATCCGGATTGAAATTAGCGCAGGACAAATTTAAGCGATAATTTGAGATGTACCCCTTCACTTGTGAGGCACTGTATATTGAGTGAGGTATTAAATAGGAAACTTATTCGATCATAACAATAAATCATAAAAAAACGTACTTCATCGCCTCAGTAAAATATCGGAATAGTATTTCATCAAAACTATATTTCATGGGAAATGTTATCCATCGGGACATTTTATACACAGAACTCAAAGGCCTAGAAGAGTACTGCAAGTGTGAGAAATCGCTGAAATCTGATACATCGAGTGTGCTTACGGCAATGGTGATCATGCGCACATTGTCGGCAACATTGTCAGTTATATATTTTTACACGCGAATCTCATATTTATGAATTAGGATGTAGTTCATATTTCTTATAAAAATTCTTGCAACTGATCAACAGCTTTACAAAAATTATATATAAAATTCATATACTGATATTAATTGAATGGCTGACAAGAGATGGATGCATATTATGAACCTCCAATTTCTTACAAGTTCATACGGCAACTGTGTGAGAATGTACCTCTGTCATTTTGTCTGACTTCGAATTAAGACAGAGCCGGATTAGTTTCAGTTATTCAGTGTTTTGCTTCGTGTTTAATGTCATTCGTTAGTGAATTTGAGATTATCGAAGAGTTTTGGTATTTTACTCCAGTTTGGGTGGTTCATTTTAGTCATAGCGACATACAGTGTGTCCCAGCTAAAACTTGTCACCCCCCTAATCTCCGATGTCGTTGGAAAAATTGAAAATCGTTCTTACAGGTCGATTTCAATTTGGCGAGGGACACATTTTTCTGAAATTCATATTCCAAAGTTGAAATCTTGAAGCGTATCAAGCATCAACTCTCGATTTTCAAATGGAGCACCCTGCTTTCATCAATGCATCACACTTGGTGTCTAGCGGGAATGATTACAGAGATATAGGGTGTTCAAAATCGAGATTTTTTAACTTTAGGATTTTTTTGTGTCGATACTATTGATTATCGGTTGTCATGTTCCTATCTTTACTTTTGATTTACTATCTACTGACATTTGATTGAAACAAATACAGGGTGGTTCAAGATTCAGAATTCTGATCACCCTGTCTCTGTTCCAATCAAATGTCAGTAGATACTGAATAAAAAATTAAGATAGGGACATGAAAGCCGTTATGACCGATAATACATACTTTCGACACAAAAAAAATCCTGAAATTGGAAAATCTCGATTTGAACACCCTATATCTCTGTAATCATTCACGCTAGCAGCTCTTCAGGGAGAATCTGAAGATGCGATGAAATACAGGCTGCTCCATTTGAAAATCGAGAGTTGATGCCCGATACGCTCCAAGATTTCAACTTTGGAATATGATAATTTCAAAAAATGTGTCCCCCGCCAAATTGAAATCGACCCGTCCGAGCGATTTTCGATTTTTTTAGTTTTTAACGACATCGGGGATTTGGGGGGTGACAAGTTTTAGCTGGGACACACTGTATATACGTTTTTCCTGTTCATTTTCTAAGTACAATTCTTATTTGATTGGACATTCATTGACTGATTTATTCTGTACAGTGTTTTCAAAATGAATGATTTGGTCATCAATTTTATTTCTGTATCTGATATCACAATGACTTTTTATTGTGTCATTATTTCACAATATCTCATCTCCTATCAAATGTTGAATTTCAAGCCATGATAGCTCTGTCTAATAGATGAGTACTACTTAAGAGAAGAAAAGATGGATACAAGCCGAAAAAATCGAAAAACTTCGCCGTAATCTGTTACAGCTGTAGAAAAAGTATAGTGTATAACTCGTTGAACAATATACTATTTTGTTGGTATGATTATATTACCGAAACTAAAATATCAAGCAAGAAGTTACAGATCTCAAGAATTAATGAAATTGAATCAAATTTTAGGCTAACCAAGAAATGCCCTGTTGCTTGGGTGACTGCTCTGGGGCAAGATACCACTGTTGAGAAGTTGAGGCCTTTTTTTTCAACTGAGCTATCCAATTTTTGTGAGGTCTCGGTTTTTTTAAATTCAATTAACTCCTAAACGAAGCCCCAAATCGAAATTCCACAAGAGTGCCTTTCTTGCTGTCTTGAACAGGAAATTTGGGAAAATACCTCAATTCTGAAATATTTCCAGTGGTTTAGTATATAGGGCGGCAAGAGCGAGACAACAAAACTTAGTTGCGTCAAACAACGAGTAACCATTTCATAAGTATTTGAACAAAATTGTGTTTCATGTTCCTAGGATTGAAGCGAGAAAACTATTTTTGAAACTGGTCTTTAGAGGGATGTATCTTCCTCGTAAAGCTTTTTTTAAAAAAATTGATAAGTCATGCGACCTATTTTTTAATGAACCATGGTGAATTATTGCTAATACATCCTGAACCACCTTGCATATTAGGTCCATTCCATCCAATGAACACTTTGGTATATGGAAAGTACATCGAAATATTACTCCGAGTGAAGGAATCCATCATAATGAATACAGGGTGGGCCACCAGTAACGCCTCGGTCTCTAGAAGGCTAACCACTTATCTTCTTGGAATTCTTCCTCTCTAGGAAGTTGCATGTCAACATAGGCTACCATTTGAAATTATTTTGAAACATACAGGATGTCCCCAAAATTCAAGAAACACTGAAGTTGAACTGTTTTCAATCGAACACCCTATATATTATTTCATTTTGAGATTCTCCCTGGTGAGCTGATTTCAACAATCCATCTTACTTGGGGTCTAGCAGTTAAAATTACTGAGATATAGGGTGTGAGAAATCGAGATTTTCCAAGTTCAAGAATTATTTGTGTCTAAACCATTCATAATTGGTCAAAACGGCTCACATGTCCCTATCTCAACTTTTGATCAACTATCTACTGACATTTAATTGAAACAAATACAGGGTGGTGCAGAATTCAGAATCTTGATCACCCGGTATATGTCCCAATTAAATATCAGTAGATAGTTAATCAAAAGTTGAGATAGGGACATGTAAGCCGTTTTGACCAATTATGAATAGTTTCGACACAAAAAATTCTTGTACTTGGAAAATCTCGATTTTTCACACCCTATATTTCAGTAATTATAACTGCTAGACCCCAAGTATGATGGGTCGTTGAAATCAGCTCATCAGGGAGAATCTCAAAATGAAATAATATATAGGGTGTTCGATAGAAAAAAGTTCAACTTCAGTGTTTTATGGTTTTTGGGGACACCCTGTATGTTTCGAAATAATTTTAAATGGTAGCCTATGTTGACATGCAACTTCCTAGAGAGGAAGAATTCCAAGAAGATAAGTGGTTAGCCTTCTAGAGACCGAGGCGTTACTGGTGGCCCACCCTGTATATACATTTTTCACAAGGTTTTGCTCTTTCAAGAAAGCCACAAAAACCTGGTAATCGAATAATTCTGAAGCCGCCCCAGGCACAGTCGCGTCTCCACTGCGCATGCTCACATTTGCCGTTCCAGCCACGTTAGGGAACACTGGAATAGAAGTATATTGGTCTTTTAGGTCTTTGAGTTCTGTGATTTTATAGCGACAGTAATTCATCAGGACCGTATTCCATCGGAATGGTATTCCCTTTAGAAAACAATGCATTTTTGCAAAACAAATTTGAGAGAAAATTGTGTACCAGTCATTTTCAACCATTTTGATTCTTTATTTCGACAATAAGTGGAAATTTCCCGGCACATGACGACTATCATATGATTAGACAACAATAATATTGAAAGAATATTGACATAATTTTTTATTCCCCTGAAACCTAGTGAGAAAATAATATAAAATCAATTATTTTTATAAAATAATGAATATGATTTTATAATTTCACTATGACACGAGAAAATAAAAAAGAATCTCCCCCAATACAAACATTTACTTTAATTTTTAGTCAATATTGAGGTTTCTTTGAAACCTAGCAAGGAAATTGTATGAAAACAATCTATTTTATGTAAAAAATTATCTGATATTACATATTTTATTTTACCAGGACACGGAAAATCTGAAAAAAGTCTTCCACGTATCCACTTTCATTCTTTAGTAAATAATGACAATTCTATGAAACCTATCAAACAATTCAATTAAATCAATTGATTTTCAATAATAATTTATCTATATATTTTTTAAATTATTCTAGAGCACGGGGAAAGAAAAAAGAATACCCTATATGATAGGCAATACACACAGCCTTCTAGTTATTTGTGGATAACGTCCGAATAAATATTTACTTAATGTTATTTTTACGTCCGAAAGAATATTTACTCAATGTTTTTTTAAAAATATTATTCCGGTATGAAATTTTCTTATCGAACCTCCCACGTGCTTGAATGAATGAATTTCAGATATCACACTTAAATTGTGGGGCACTGTATATTGAGTGAAGTATCGGATTGATGTTCCTAGTATGTTTCCTCAGATAGTGAAAATGTATATGTTGATTCGAGAAATAAAAAAACAACCTTATACATTTTGAACTATCAAAAATTGAAGAGTTATAAGTGGTACTTTGTAGAGTGTCGCCCAATATGTATTATATTTACCTGTACGCTGAATCGGTTTCGAGAGCCCAGTTTCCTATTTCATGGACGTAATACACAACGATTCTAAATTCTAATAACCTTAAAGCTAATGCAAATTCACATGATCTCTCTGCCGAGGCCATTTCGAAAATCTCCGTTAGCTGCCATCCATCCCCGCTCACACCGATTTGTACGAGGCATTCGTCTTCTTGTCCTTATCCCCCTTGACTTTGGCTTCCTCCTTGCTCCCCTTCTTCTCCTTCTCCATCTTGCTCTTACAGTCATCGGTTTTCGAGCCTTTGTTCCCTTTCTTCGGAGCCTCATCGCCTTTGACTTTCTTGTCCTTGTCTGCTCTCTCTTCTCCTTTACTCGCTCTCTCTTTATCCTTGGCCTGCTCCTCGAGTTTGACAGTTTTCCTCTTCTCCGTCTTGTTTTTATTCTCGCCACCCTCGCACACCTTCATTTGATCTACCTCCTGTTTTCCTTCATTGAAGTGTTCCGCGCCTTTGCTCGTTTCTTCTCGCTCATCGGGTTTCTTCGGCTTCGCTTCGTGCGCGCCCGTCGGCGAGTCCTTCTCTTCGGCTATCCTCGGCAGCAGCTCGCCGGGGCCCGAGAGGTTCAGCGACAGACGGTTCTCCGAGGCGGACGTATTCGGACCTGAAAAGATCGCGCAGCGCGGTCAGTAATGTTGGTTCTCCTAGATCAGGGGCAGAGCTGGGCATTATTTGTATTTACTTTTTAGTATTTAAATATTTTTTGGCATTCAAATACCGAGTACTTGAATACTTTCTGGTTCAGGTAATTATATTCATACATACAAATATTTGTTGAAATATATTTATAACTAAGTATTTGCAAATAGTTTCGCAAAGTATTTAAATATATCTGAAGTATTTTAATACTCTCGGAGTATATAAATACTGAGAAGTATTTAGATACTGGAATACTTTGAGGAATTTGGACATACTTTGGAAAAACGAATCTGACCTTCCTGATAATCTCAAAAACGCCCAGCGCATAAATTCCTATTTTACGAATATTTCTCACCCAGATAAAACCAATGATCAACTGGCTTTACTGGATAAGCATAATGATGTACGTGAAAATCACAATTTCAATTTTGTAACCGTTAACTCGGAGGTAGATCTCTTTGAAAATGATCTATTTGGTGGAGGAGCATTTAATTAATCATATAACCTTTATATTCAACCAGGCAATTGAGTCCAATCACTTTCCAACCGTATGGAAGATTGCAAATGTTTTACCTATACCTAAATGCAACTCCCCTACTGAATTGACACATTTGAGACCTATCAGTATCCTCCCTGCACTCTCGAAGGCACTTGAGAAGATTGTCAAGGAACAAATCTTCGATTTCGTTTCCAGTCAAAATATAATTTCTTCAGCCCAATCTGGATTTCGTTCTGGTCATAGTACCACCACTGCACTTTTGAAAGTCACTGACGACTTGTTTCGGTCAGTAGATAGAGGTGAATCTTCGTGTCTTATTTTGTTGGATTACACTAAAGCTTTTGACACCATTGATCATGATGTTCTTTGTGAGAAGCTCAAATATATTGGATTTCATCAGAACTCAGTAGCTCTTATCAAGAGTTTTCTCACGTTTCGGACTCAGTCAATCACTCTTGATGGTGAATCTTCAGGAACACTACCTGTAGAGTTTGGGATGCCTCAAGGATCCATTCTTGGGCCATTACTGTTTTCTTTATATATTTGTGATTTTCATGAGACAATTGAGTGCTGTCATATTCATCACTATGCCGACGATACCCAACTTTATATCAGCTTTGACATAAACAACGCCCACTCAACATCTGAACAAGTAAATGATGTTCTGACCTATCTTTTCGATATTTCCACTGCACATAACCTTAAGATAAATCCGCGCAAGTCCCATGCTATGCTTATCGGCACAGAATCAAAATGTGCACTAGCTGAGGGGAGCTTTTCACCTAAACTTTCCAACGAACAACTACCATTTGTCCATGAATGCAAAAACTTGGGTGTCTGGTTCGATCAGCAATTACGATTCACAAAACACGTAAGTCATTTGTGTCAAAGCTCTTTCAATGTGTTGAGACAATTATACCCTTCTAAGGACATTTTACCCACCTCGAATCTTAAACTAAATCTCTGCCAATCCTTGATTATCTCTAAGCTCTCATATTGTGACGCGGTCTACGGCCCTGCACTTTTGCGGAATGATGCCTACAGATTACAGCGTATTCAGAACTCCTGCATACGATTTTCCTAAGGTATTCGAAAATATGATCAATTCAGTGCAAAGTTCAGGGAGTCCGGTTGGCTGAGACTGTAAAAATTGAGGGAACTCCATTTACTCACTTTAACCCATAAAGTAATAACTACATCTTCCCCAACTTATCTAGCTGCTAAACTGATCAGATTCAGAAACTATAACAATGCGAGAACACGAAACAAAAATACCTTGGTAATTCCAAAATACAAAACCAGTTTGTATAAACGAAGCTTCTCTAATACAGCCACTAAAATAAATGTTATAACTCTCTACCTACTGATTTTCATAATTATAATCTACTAAATTTTAAGAAGAAACTGAAAGCATTACTGAATGATGGATAGATATTTCGATGCATGATTTCCGATTATCAAACTATGGATGGCAATTCTCTTTATGATATGTTCAATAGTACTATTGTATTCTATACCTTTTTTCTCTTTATTCCTTCTTTTTCTTCAAGGGTTAAGTTGTAAAACAGCATCAGCTGACACTCCGCCTCTTCATCTTTGTACTACAATAATTATTTTTTATAAATTTAATGTACTGATATTGTTGCAAGATGAATTAAGACGATTTATTATTATTTTTATTATTATTATTATTATTATTATATTCCAGAAGTATTCAAATACTCGTGAAATATTTAAATACTGTGGAAGTATTCAAATACTTAAGAGCATTTAAATACTCCGAGAATAATTAAATATTTAGATTCGTTACGGCCATCATGGCTATGATATCATCTTTTTGAATAGAACACCCTGTGGATTTCAGATTTCAGAATCTGAGCTGATTTCAGAGACCTCCACATCCAACATCCAATATAGTGAATGGTGAATTCATTTCACCAATCTGACAATGATAATTCATACATTTTCATAGGTGAGGATCGAAAACCCAAAGATATCGAGTAATACTAAATGGTAATTTTGTGAGTAAGTCACTAATCAGACATTATCCTTTCCTATAGATGTCGGGTTTTGACAAATTGACGCCTTCCCAGTGCAGTACAAGGATTTATTCATTTTTTTCATTCTTTCGCTATGGAAACTGCCTTAATTACTCAAATCTACATTACACATGGTGATTAAAAGCGTCAAAAATACCCAAGTTACATGAATGTATCTAAATCCTTGAGAAAATTGGTATACTTTGGATGTATGTATTTGAACACTTTGCAAATAATCAAATACTTTGAAAGTATTCAAATACTTACTGTGAACTATTCAAATACTTTTGTTTTTGTTATTTAAATACTTTTTGGCCTTTGAAAATGTTAGATATTTTTAATATCCGAAAGTATTAAATACTTAATATTTAAATACTTTTCTCAGAGTATTTGTCCAGCTCCCCTGATTCAGGGGTGGCGGACACCTATGGCATTAATGGCCATTGATCGCAAGAAACACAATATTTAGAGCACGTCACCGAAAACGGAAAAAGCAAAATGAGTGAAAATACCAGTGACAAAATTTTGGGAACATTGAATTGGGTTTCAGACACATTTAACTGTTTGAAGAAGCTGGATCCTGCTACTTTTCATCATTATATGCTTATTATTTTCAGAGATGAATAACATTGAAGACTCGCTTAGATATCGTTTGACAGATATGACTCCAGTTCAGCATGCATCCTGTTGAAATCAATATCTTACAACCCTATATCTTCCTTATTCTTTGAAATATATATAATTTATTTGTCATCTAATCTGCAGTTGAAATTGAGGGAAATGGTTCGTTATTCAATTCACCAATAACCAAATACCTAACTTCTATCTTTTCATGCAGAATGATTAAAGTGAACGGAGACGTATTCGATATTTGTTGTACCTCAACACAATATCTATACTCTCCTAAAGGAATTATAGAGTAGTCGTAGAAGAACTATAGTACATTACTCGAGTTGTAAAACAATTACGCACTTGTGGAGTTACACACACGCCGCTATGGGGCTTCGTATGTAACTCTCTCCACACCGTGCGTAATATGGGTTTTACAACTCTTGTTATGTAATATACTATTTTATGATAGTAAATTATAATTTTCCGATAATCACTAGGTCAAAATTATATTTCGGTACGTCTGTGACCTTATTAAGCATTTCTTCAGAAAAAATAGCACGTTGGTAGATAAATGTTCTCCACCCGTCCCAGATGGAGAAAAGAAAATCTAGGGGATTTTCGCGAATCGGTTGTCAACTGATGCGAAACATACTGTTTCGGTTCATCAAGACTCGTCGGTTGTACCAGGCTAGCTATCAATCAATTCACGAACAACATCCAAACGAATACAGTTAAATCAGTTTTGATAGAATGGGAGGGAAATCTAGCCTTCAGAATTCCAATATTGGCAGTGTTGAAAAACTGAAAGTGTCAAAGCTAAGAGATTCTGGAGATTCGACATTTGTCAGTGAGACATTGAACCACTTAATAATAATCTGCAAAGTTGCAGCTACACATGCAGGGGACACCTAAAACGTCGTAATATTAAATATAGGAATATAATCCATAGGAATACATTTCATCGGACTGATAATTTATAGGAAATGTAATTAATCGGAACTGCATTCTGTAGGAACGTTATCTATCGGAATGTAAAACATAGGACCGTTCTTTGAAGGAATGTAAACCAACAAAACGTAAGTCATCAGAAAGGTATTGAATGGGAAACTTATTCGATCATATCATCAATTCCTCATGAATGTAATTCGTTCCGGCAGTGAATTATCGGAATAATAGTATTCCCAATACTGTATTTCATAGCGAATGTATTCCATCGGGACAAGAATTTGTTGGAAACGTATTTATCGAAACCGCGTATTCCATCATAACAGTATTTAGTAGCGATACAGAATCAGATTGCAACAAGAAACTTCATTACTATGCTCTGCTATGTTAGGATTCTTTATGATTCCGACAGAGTACAATTCTGACGAAATATCGTTTTGCTATAATACGGTTCCTATGAATTACGGACCCGATGAATTACGGTTATGAAATATAGTTCTGATGTTTCACAGTTCCGTTAGAATAAGATTATGATGTTTCACAGTCCTGACAGAATACAGGTCTGACAAAATTTCGACGACACAGATCTGTTCATTTACCATCATGATGATTTACGATTATAATAATTCACCATTCCGACAAAATACGGTTTTGATGAATTATCTTCCTAATAATATATGGTTTGGTTTGAATACCGTTCCATCATAATGCGATTCTGATTAAATATCATTCTGATGAAATACGATTATAATGATTTACCATTCCAATGAAATACAGTATGTCGTTTCACTTTCTTACGAGTACAGTCGTATTGAAAAAAGTGCAAAAGTATACCAGAGAGATATTAACGTCATCCTATTTGCGTAAAAC